ACTACACAGCGCAACAACCCAGAAGACGGAAATCTTCATATTAATGTCTGCCATTGGCACTGACTTGTATGCGTTCAACATCGAAGTTTCTGCATTTCTTTGTTCTTAATTACAACATTGTTTTTCATCGGCAGCTTGCATCTACTACTCAACAATGTCAGAGGAGAGAGATTGAATTTTGAAGTGTTCCTTGAGTGTGCTGTATTTTGGTTGTAGTTCAAAGGACAAAGAAGTGTTTCTTTGTGTCTTTCCATCTGCATGAAAGTACTTAATTCTGATTAACACATTTTTGTAGCTTTTAATACGAGGAACTCTTCATAAATTTTGTTGGGGAACTTTAATTCCTTAATATATTACCAATTTATTAGAATAAACTCCAGATTTATAATTAAAAAATGTTCATGTTGTGTTCACGGATAGTTATTTATTAATAATACCTTTACCAAAAACTGTATAGTCAAAGAATACCAATGAACCAATGTTGTTATTTTAATTTATTACCAAAATTAATTTGTTATAGTATTTTAATATTAACTGGAATAAAAAGGCATTGAACAACATTTCTATGGCTTAAGAAGGAAATGTTAGGGTCATGATAGTGTTTTGTCTTCTCTGTTACAGATGGCTGCTGTTTTATGTCAGATTGTCTGCTTTAAAACATTCTTTGAAAGGCACCGTCATTTAAAAGCTTTGTTCCACTGTTATTAAGAAACTTTTGTTTCTAGAATTAGTTATTAAATTTGTAAAATTTTTTTCTTGTCTTCAGCATCAGATAAACCTGATTTGGGATTAGAAGAATTGAGCTCTCTCAATGTGAAATCTCGATATCAGGTCTTTGAGAAGTCGGACTCGCTGAGTGGTGCTGATGTAGAGAGATCACCAAGTTCTGTCAGTGTCAAGCGATCGCCCAGTATCCTCAGCAAACTGGCTAGGTGAGTAAATTAATCCAGCCACTAAATTTCCACCATTTTCTGTCTGTCTGCTGTCGGAGAGTGTTGCAGACTTGCATGCATACGTCATGTGACTGCACGAAAGATGAAGGTCGGAGTCTCTGCTTCCTCCTCCTTCCAAAGATTTCTACATCAAATTGGCAGTTCTGATGCTCCCGTTGCTACTTTCATCTTAATGTGCCTTCTGACGACTGCAACAGTCACAATTATTTTGTAATAATTTGGGGCATGTATTTTATTTTGTTGTAATGTGTAATTTGATATAAAATTTTCATAATTTCCCAGTCTATAATAATGCCCACATTTTTATCGTCTACACTGAGTCTGAACTTGTGAAAGTTAGGTTAGGTTTCCCGCAGAAATATTTTACTCAGTTTACACGGATTACAGACTTTTGTGTGTAATATGAGCGCAACACCCGACACCAATTGTTTCTTTCCCTTGCTTCGCCTGAAGCCATGTCTGTGTATTATTTTTTATAGCCCTGTTAATCTCACCAAAGTTTTAAAGCTTTGTAAAATTATTGCACAACGAAAGGGTCAAATTCTTCCTTTATTTTTGAACAGATCTGTACTTTTCAGTTTGAGGTTTTCATGGTTCATCTGTTAACTTTTCTTCTAGCAAACTGAGTGTGGAACCCATCACATTGTCCCTTTGACTAATAAACGTGTCTTTTTCTGCATGATTTGGGGTAATGTTTTATTACCAGAATTTTGAAGGCTCTTAAATTTCAATAAACATAAACAAACAAACTGAGTTCCAGTGTCATAATTCATATATTAGTTGCACATCTGAAGATTCATAACAAGCTTTAGTAGTAATTTCACCTTCATAGCACCATTGCTACAAAAATACTCTAATATGAATGACTCATGATTTTTTTAAAATTTATTTAATTACATATTTATTTTGAGATTTTAAACTGTTGGTTACATGGCGCAACCATAATGGATTCCCTGAAACCAAGTAAACATAAGTGGGCATAGCAGCATAAGGAAATGTTCGTGGTAATCGGAAGGTCATGAAATAGTGTGGAGACGTACTTCCGTAAGTAAACGCGCTGCCTGAACGCAGGTTTCAGGCCAAGGGGATGGATATTGGAGTGACTGATGACTCGCTTAATGGAATCCCATATGAAGAAAGCTCAACGTCCAGTGACGAAGATGAAGAAATTGAAGCGGAGGAAGGGGAAGCAGACAGAGATTTGATTCGCTCCAGTAGGAAACAGCGCGAACGACCCGTCAGCTTCAGTAAGATGGAGGATATCAAGTGTCGGTCAGTGTGAATCACTTCTTTGTAGTTAATGTACTTTTGTTGATGTTTTCATGCCTCTAAAACTATCGGACATTACATTTGCTCTCCCCCCCCCCCATTAAGTAAGTGATATAATATCCAATTAGTGGCACTGAGGCGAATATCTGTGAATGCATTGCATGCTAACATATTTCTTTATTGACAATGACGAAGTTGTTTTCCTCCATTATTGTTGTACATACCAAATTATTGCCATTAGTACAACAACCGCAACTTTCGTTATTAGAGATACATAGAATAATGTTCCAAATTTCTCAGTACTTTTACTGGAAACCATTACAACGGTGTTAGAACGTGTTTAGATGCGCAGTACAGTTTAAGGAAGTATAATATAATGGACGGTAATTCTCGCAGGTGGGAGACTGGTCAGGCTGCCTGGCGAGAGGAGCAGCGGCAGGAGAGAAAACAGGAGATTCAGAACATTCGCTCGCGACTGTTCTTGGTATGCACTTCCCACCACCGATATTGAAATTATTTTGCATGACGTGGCATGACTTTACGAGCTTTTAACCTCACTTAGAGATTATCTACGTGTTGATTTAAACATATTGGTGTATTATTGTGGACACCTTATTGTATAATCCACCATTTTCAAAGAGTAACCATAAGTCAGGTTAGCGCAGTCTTGACATTATGTGCTAAACAGAGGAACTGAATTTTTTAATATCTTAAATTAAAATTAAAAGTCAAGAAGAATGAGATGGGCGGGGCATGTGGCACGCATGGATGGGGCAAGAGGTGTCCTCCTGGTATTGGTTGGGAAGCCTGAGGGGAAGAGACCTCTGGGGAGACCTAGACGTAGATGGGAGGATAATGTCAGGCGGGATCTATGGGAGATAGGAGTTGAAGGAGACTGGATATTGATGTCCCAGGACAGGGTCCGGTGGAGGGCTTTGGTTAATTCGGTGATGAACCTTCGGGTTCCCTAAGCTAGTTAGTTGGTTAAATTAAAATTAATCTTATAGGTCTCCTATGCATGCATTTATTCGTCGTTTTCTTATGTTATATAAAATATTGCACGGACCATGTTTCCATTTCAGGGTAAACAAGGAAAAATGAAGGAAATGTATGAACAGGCTGTGAAGGATAGTGAGAATTTGACAACAAAGAAGGAAGTTGGTGTCCGTTCTGAGAAAGCTAAGAGTATCAAGGAACGATTTGAACGTGGAGAAGTTTTACCGGATGATGACGCTGTTGAGGAGGGCGTAGTCAAGGATGACCACTCAAAGAAGGCTGTGGATGAAGACATGAGTGTCTTTGAAGCAGGTAAAGTTTAATCTCGGGAGATCTGAGGTTCTCACTGCGGTGTCCTTTTGGTCGCTACACCACATGGACTTGTAGGTACCTACCAGTAGAGAAGAACTTACTGTCTCGAGGCATCACCGCTCAGAACACGAACACTAACAGAACTTCAGTCTCTTTCAATAGTGAGTACTCGGTGAAAATTTTCATGGAATGATATTGGTCACTTGATCAAATGAGGACGTAGTAAAATCTGCTTCATGCGCGTGGAATGGTGTTATGATTCCAGATAAGTAATAAGGTGAGAATAACCGTGCACAGAACTTTATTCTGAAAGGATAACATTCATAAAATCCTTTCTACATGTTTCAGCCAAGTACTCTTCAAGTGAAGAGTCGTAAAGCGCGGAATGAGTGCTTATACTTTCGAGCTGAACATTCAGAATAAGAAATGCACGTAAATACTGCAGGACGGTGTTTCGGTGATGGGATCAGTCTATTTGTGAAGAAAATATGTTTAACGTGCTTCTGAATATATATGGAAGTATTGGATCTGAATTTTCTTTAATTTTCCATGTGAACGATATTCAAAGCAAATATTCAGAATATCTAACGGATGTATTTGAGTAGACATTCATGTATTAATTAATTAATTAATTATAATTGTTGTGTTTGGTTTTACCTGAATTATTTTACTCATATACGTGGTGTGTAATTGCAGGCATATCAAAGAAGTCTCGTAGTTTATTCTTGGAACTGGATGCTACTGCTGCCAAGAACCACCATCAGCAGCAGCCTTCAGCATCGCCACTGAAATCGCCGCTACCTGTTGATGATGCCCGAAGAAGATCAAGAGAGGTATGGAGATAGCATGTTGAGGTTCCTTGATTTTATTTCGAGACTGCGACATAAATATGAGCATAATGTAAATATTGTAAGAACATGAAATAGATTGAACTGCTTCAGTGTAGTGTCCACTGAAGGCTTTTGGTAATGATAATGTTAATGAAGTTCGGGGGTTCTGTAACACTGAATTGTTTTAATTGTCCTGTATCTGTTGTGATACTGGCAGTAGCTACTTTAATGAATTAATTTAGTATGTTATTAATTTAATCATTTGGGTTCGTTAAAATTTGTTTGAATGAAACCTATAATGAAATGTATGTAGTTAAACACATAAATGAGATCACGTAAAGAATATTGAAACTTTTACAAAGCCCAAAGGTCCATTATTACGTCCGCAGGAGCTCAGCAGTTTCGTGAGGGCGAAGATTTTGTCATACATGTCATTATCGGCATCAGAATCTCTTTTCAAGAATTGTATCTAATTACTAATACTATCCCATCAGTTGATATGGAGCGGTGCTCAAATGGCATTTTCAGACGGTTCTTCTGCGTCAGCCGTCAGAAGACGTGGTACGATCTAGTGATTTCGTTGAGGATGTAAAGGTGGAAACAGCAGAAGTTAGCAACAAGTTTAAGTTCTTTGAAACTTACAAAGAACCTGAAAAACAGAGGAAACAATTCCGCATTACCCCACCTCGAGAAGGGCAGGTTAAGGTGTGACGAAAATTGAATGTATTGTGTTTAGTGTTGTGATATCTGCATTGTCAACTAACATAATTTCCTTGAAACAGTTTGTCGCAAGCCGTGTAGTTAAGGGATGGATAGTGTCAAGTAGGCATAGTTGACTGTGCCGTGTCTTGTCAGGAGAAGGTGTAAAAGTGAAAGTTTGTGTGTAATTACATTTGTTACGTGTGTGCATGGATGATGTAACAGCGTGTAACATCTCTCCTCTGCTGTGTTTATTTTACATGTTAATACCTGTATATACAGAGAGATTCAGAAAACTGTGTCACCAGGTTGCGTACATGTCAGGAGAGAATCAGTTATGAAATATTTAGGAATTATTGAATTATCGTGAAAATTTTCCTCATTACTGGTTTCGTTCGCTTCCGATCTTTCTCGTTTGATTGGTTGTAAGTAAGGAGACGGGGAGTGGTGACACTGAATCATGTAGGTACGTCTCAAAGTATTGAATTCTGTGCCAATATGTACCAGTTAAAATGGTGCATTTGTTTGGTTAAATTTTGCTCAGTTATCAGTTGAAGAGGCAGTCAACTTCAAAACTACAGTGACAACAAAATTAACAAGTGCTAGTTGCTTTTAATTTCAAATTCTACAGACTTTTGAAGCTACAAAATGTAACTTATATTGACTGTGCCTCTTGGTGTACATACAGTCTGGTTGCTCGTTGCAGTAACACGCTGCTAAACCATTAAACACTTGAGCTGACGTCCACCTGGCTACTTTGTTGTACAGGGGTTTAAGACCTGGATTATTGTAAGATGAAGGTTGTAGTATATGAAGGGATTCGTACACTTAAGTAACCTTGTGTTCCTACACATTTTTCAATCCACGGTTCTCTGCTGGGATTGTTTATCGAAGGAGAATTTGAAAATCATGATTGAACCGTAAGTGTCGATTATTCAGCTGACAAGTTGTCGCTTGTAAAACATTTGGGGCGACGTGCTCACTGGAGAGTGACCGTCATCTTCGTTTCACACCATTCTTATCCACTTCTCAGTTTTTCTGTTCGTGGTGTGGGCATTTCAGGAACTAACATTGTCTGTCCTGAAAGCAAGAAACTGACTGTGAGTTTGGGCGGACTGCTGCTTCATTTAACAAATTAACATCAATGTGAAAGTGTGTATTGTCAAAGTTATTAACAGTTACTCTAGAGTATACTGACTGGCTTACAGTTTGATTTTGTATTTAATAAATTATGTTAATATCTGGCGTATGTAGCTGCAATTTATAAGGTTTATCTCTTTTATAAAACATTTACAATTGGACTTGTTCGGTAACAGATAAAAAATAAGTTTTAGTCGCAACTAATCTTGTATTTCAGTGTTATATTTTGTCACATTCAAAGTAAATTTTTGATAAAGGTAAATATGTTTTGAATTTGTGTAAAAGGAAAGCACAGATCATCGTCAGAGCAAGGGCATGTTCAATTAATAGTGAAGCAACAGATGAGATTTTATCTGTAACTACAGTGTGGGTGCAATAAAACTTTGTTCTTTTTTTTATTCACTTGGCAGGCGAATTCTCCTGAACGTGAAATATACAGGGATCCAGAAGTTGTACGCAGCGAAGATAAAGTGGAAGATGATGAAGTGATGAAGACAAACACGGCGAAGAAAATGCTCTCTATCTTCAGACAAATGGAGGAGAATGCAAGCAAGGAAGATATCCCAGATGGTAAGGAATTGAGGATGTCACTTTTTGAAGATGTCTTGTCTCCTGGGTTGTTGCGCCGTGTGTGTAGTCTGGTAGACGCAACAACCCAGAAGACAAGACATCTTCAGACTCACCGCCACGAAAACCTCAAACCCTACATATCACTTTATGTCGGCAAACAGTTTGCAGAACATGTTGTTACCCTCTTTCTTAATTTCTTAATAAGACATTAAAATTCGTAAGGAGTTAAAACGAGAAGCTGTGAATTTGAAAAACTGGCTAACTCTTTTTGGGCAGAACAATGGACCTGTCGTCAGACAGAACACTAAATAATAATAAAATATTAAAATTTGAGGATTGAGTTACGATGCATTTGCTGAATTGCCTCTGTATTTCTCTTCCATGGCTCAACTGACACTGAAGTGTGTTGAAGCACGTCGCATATCCTATGAATCAATATTCTGCACTCGCCCGCTGTATCTCCCCTACGTAGTTGAATCGTGGGGTGGGGGATGATACGGTTCACTTAAAATAGACACTGTCAGAATCCTTTGTAATGTACGTGTATTCACATTTAGACATTCGAATTGCGCTTCAGGCCTACGGCAGGTATATGCAGCATGAAACAGTGGGCCGTGAGAGTTTCTACTCCCTTTCACTTTGAAACCACTCACTGAGAGTACAGTATGTTTGAATAAATGACATGAAGAATTACAAATATAATAAAATAAGTGACATGGAAATTAGTCCGAAGTTCTTCTTTCCAGGAAGTTAATTTTAACGTTGTTTGAAAAACCTTGAAGCGCCTTTTTATAAAATACGCTTTACTCTTTCTGTTCATGTTATTAATGAATTCTGGGTGCATTGAGTCTTTAGACAGCTAGGGTACGTATTGACACTGACGTCTGTGGCAGGACCTAAGCCCTTGAAGCGGTTCACGCCTCCGCCAGATTACACTCGAGATTCGGAAACAGAGTCTGACGAGGAGGAGGAGGAGGAAGAAGAAGAGGATGTGGACCCAAATATTGTCAGGTCATCGGACAAGATTGAAGATGAGTTTTTGAAACAGGTGTGTTTTGTTATGATGTCAGTCGACAGCTTTTAGTGCTTTGGAGATTTTGTTAAACGCAGAAGGAGATGTATCAAGATAGTTTAACATTAGGTGATTTTTTATGTCATAACTCAGTAAGACAATAAAATCCTCCAGTCCTGAAGGGGTTACTATGTTATAGGCTTGGTCCGAGGTGACTGGCTTTTACAAAACTACTTGCAACTATTATAATACATGAGGTTTGCTTTTATGTATTGATATAGACTCCACAGGCATTATGAACTGGGAACTTCTTAACCTGTAATGGTTATTGTCTACCAGACTGCATGGTACAACATCCCAGAAGCCAGCAATCTGTAGGTTTTTGTGTGTCAGTGACCGTACTCTTTTAGTTTGTAAACAGTTAATCAGAATTTCTTCCTATGTGTTGTATTTTAAGCCTCTGAAAGTTCAATTTTGTTATGAACTTGAGTGTAGTAAAAATGGTTTCATTGCAGTTAATTAATACAGCTATAAAAGTGAATGTTTGCAAGAAGTCCTCTTGAGCGAATGTGATGATTAGAATTGCGTTCATTCCTCTAAATGAGTGGATCATTACAGGCACAGAATGACGCTAGGGCAAAGGCACTTAGAGCAAAGTTTGAGCGCTGGGAAGAGAAGGAGAACAGAGCTAATGCAAATGCAGCAACAAATGCCAGTCACGCCGTTGGCAATCTGAATGGCTCACTTGATCTCGATCAGTCGTCAGAGCACTCTAGTATCGACACTACAAAGTCACTCCGAGCCCGATTTGAATCGCTCAGGAACGAGTCGCAACAACCGAAAGAGAAGGTGCCACGGCCCAAGGTCAACAGATTTGTCGTGAGTACCGTTCTTTGCTCATTTCATGTTGTGTTTACAATTTGAACTTATCAATGTGCGTGTTACCTTGGCCTTTGAACAAATTTCCTCAATTTCCTTTGCCTGCAAAGGCATAACATCCATAGCAAATGTCATAAAAATTTGTTCAGCCATTCTCAGGTTGTTATACTGCAGTCCATATAGTTTGTGGGACCACTGATAGATAGCAGCATGATCTATCAGCTGAAAGACACAGATAGATGGCAGGAGGTGCCGATTAGGCATTCTTTTTGTATGCTTAAGTGTAGAAAACGCGTGAAGATGAAGACATCTGACAACCAAGTATCAGAAAAGATCTCTATATAGAAAATAGGCCTGAAGACAGAAAGAGTACAACATTGGTTTTAACTTAATTTTATAAAGTGTTTTAAAAAAATCGTAGAGAAGTTTATTTACATAAAATGCCTTCAAATATAATTTCAGAATTGCGTAGTTTTTGTGAAGAATCACATAAAAGGGACACTAGCTCTAGGTCTGCAGTTCTCTTTGGCGCTGTTGGTTAAAGTTTGACTAACTCTGAAGCTTTCTAATGCAGTATTTACACAGTGGACTCGCTGCATTGATATCACGGCTGTGCCGTTATACACGGTTATTAAAGAGACATTTTAACTGATCTTTTATCGATTGAGCAGATATACTTTGAAGTTAATTGCCTTTTTGTGTGTTGTATTTTAGTGTAATTTATTGAAATGTGTTTCATTAATTGTACATTTTGGTAGAAGACTTAGATAGGTACTGGCATAATAACACCACACCAGATTTTTTATTTATTTATTGATTTATTTTACCCCCTTAACATTTTTTCCTTAGTAGAGGTGCGTTCATGTTCTTAAACTCTTGATACACATCTGTGTACAGTAGAGTAACTTTGTCACAGTACCCAAACCAGTTGTTGAGACGCGGGTTCAAACTTCTTTCTTCCGCTATCACACTTTACTTATTATTATTATTCAGTGGTCTGTCTTACGACAGGTCCATTGCTCTGCCCAAAAAGAGCTCTCCAGTTTTCCCTATTCTCGGCTTCTCGCTTTAATTCCTGGAACGTCATCTTCTTTCCTTGTTTAAGGTCGTCGGTTAGCTGTATCAATCTTCTTCCTAGTCCTCGCTTTCCTTCAACCTGGCCTTCGATGATATCACTCAGTAACCCATTCCTTCTCATAATATGTCCCAGCCAGTTAGCTTTCCTTCGTGTAATCGCCTGCAGAATGTTTCTTTGCTCGTTGACTCTCCTCAATACTTCTTCGTTGGTCACTCGATCCGTCCACCTGATCTTCTCTATTCTTCTCCAACACCACATTTCAAAACTCTCCAGGTATTTCTGTTCCTTCTTCCTGAGTGTCCAAGTCTCTGCTCCATACGTAACACTTCACTAGTTTCTTCTTCATCTCCAAGCCCAACTTGCTAGTGTGAAGTATCCAGTAATTTTATCATTCATTCAGTCTGATGGTTTGTAAAGCTAATTCGTGTTAGAAGTGTGTTGCTCTGCATCAAATTTGCTTTGTGTTGTACTTGCACATTCTGGTCCAGATTTGGTGTGTTTGGGGCCAACAACACAATTAAAATTTTGTTTACCTCCCTGAATAAAAAAAAAAAATCATGTAACAGAATGAATTTGAGCTTTAAAAAGTGAAAGTGTTAGATTTGAAGGTCATTTTTAAGTTCTGCATTGTGTGGAAGTTCTGTTTTGCGCATCTTGTTCTGCAAGTTTTTTTTGGATTAAGCTCTTTATTGCGTGACACGAAGAAAGAAGAATATGTGTGTGGTACGACAGCATGGCATCTGTGTGTTGTATGATTTGTATCTCGCAACGACCTGCACGGATTTAACCCCTCTGTATGCGCAAGCAGGTATGGCATGAACCGTTTCTTTATTGCTTACAGCATGAAATTTAATGCTTTATGCTTTACTTACATTTAAGTTACTGTTGCTGATTTAGTTGAGCTCTGTAAGTGTTAAAAATAAGGATGTTTTGTTTTGTTTTGTGTTATGTTCTGCTCTGTGGCCATTAACCTTTATTGTATGGAAATTTAGAGTTTAAATGCCCATACTGTGAGGCTGATGGCCCGGTTTAACTCGGGTGAATTCGGCTGGTAATGGTATTAGTACTGACAAATTGCTTTTATCTATAAAATATATTAATGCTAAAATATTGTAAGAAAATGGTGTTTCTCACATCTGTAGTGATTATACATTCTTAAACTAAATTAAATACTGAATATATAAATCAAAATGAACGGTGTACTACGGTATTGGTCTTCCTTTTGAATGGTTTGAATTCAAGGCTCCGTTGCAGTCTTCTCCAATAAGTTTCGAACCATAATTAGGTAACATTTTTTGTGATCTTATTTTGCAGTCACATAATGTTAAAATTGTGTATATAAAATCATGCATACATACAAAACTGTTTACACTTTAAAGGACACTAAAGCCAAACGTGTTTCGACCTCAAGAGTTCATCATCAGTGGCAAAACAAATTAATTCAAATAATACAACTCAAAAGACTATGGTTTTCTACAGAGCATGAAAGGTGCATACTTTACTAAACCATACTTATGTAACACCTCATCGGACGTTAATTGCACAGGAGTTGGTGTAATAAATAGAGTACTTAGTTTATATGTCCACTGGCCTGATGGCCGTTGCTGGTCTACGTTGAGACATGGTTGCGTCATCTGTGCCTATGAACTTTAACGATGCGTGGGCGTTACATATACTTTTGAATTGTATTATACGAATTAATTTGTTTTGCCACGGATGATGACCTCTTGAGGTTGAAACGCATTTGGCATTAGTGTCCTTCAAAGTGTAAACAGTTTTGTTTATATGTATGATTTTATATACAATACACTGCATGGTATGCAAGATTTCAAGATTAAAATTATGTAACTATTCGTAAAAGTAAAATTATACAGATGCCCACTTCTGTGTTGCGTGGCTAACTGAATAGCTGTTTGCCGTTCTGTAAATTCTGTCAGTATAGCCCACTGCTTCCCAAACTTTCTCCTTTTTACCAAATGCAGGTGAAACACTAACTGCACAGAAAACATATGACAAGAGAAGAGAGATCGGTAAAAAATAGGACACGAACAATATGTTTGATGCAGTGTCTTAACTTTAAACATTTTAGCAGCCACAAAAAATTGATAATTATTCACCATGAATATTTCATCACCCAGGTCCCAGCTAATTATCATAATTCTACTGCTCCATCTTATTTACTAGTTCCGAAAATTTGGGAGCAATTGGAGACAGAGCACACCTCACGTCGTATTTGGGGTTCAGCAAACCGTTTCGTTTTGTGCTCTTTATGAAGGCGAGAGTGGAAAATCCCACTTCACACATGCGGGTGCTCGGGAACTGCAATAATTGCATCACGGCCTCCCCAGCTACCACAGGATATTCATCGTGAATTGTTAACCAGAAAGACTCCAAATGACCCTTTTTTTCTTCAAATAACATTTTGCAATGACTGCGTGACTCAAGCTCCATAATTTTCTCTGCAAAACCATTAACACTATCGAGGATTTCAGTCAAGTCACACAGAAATGGGTTTACAATCCACTGATATACAGAACTTTCTAGTTCAGGAAAGTATTCCTTGAAATGAAAAGATAGTTTTGTTAAGTGGGTGATCGCGGCAAAAATGATTGAATCTAATAACAAGCATTTGGCGTATATATTAAATACGAGGGTCGCTCATTAAGTAATGCCCCACATTTTTTTCCTCAGAACATATTTATTCAAGATGGCTCAAATTTAGTGACAATATAAGGTTTGGGAAGCACTGGTATAACCCATATACTGACTGCAGTCTTCAACACTCACAGCTTTATGAGCTGTCCCATTTGCATCATGCAAGTTGCCTTCAGCTAGTGGCTTCTCTGTACACATATCTCAGAATGTGCGTGCATGCCTCAAGTGTCATACCAGATCGTCACTGTCAAGACACCTGTCACCCTAGCATGTATGTCACCGTTTTAGTTTGTCTTATTATTTAAACCCCTTGGCATTTATTTACAGTTCCACAACAGTTGAAAGCCCTTGTGTACATGTTATTATATATATATATATATGTTACCGTAAAAGCCCAAATGTTGGTGAAACCTAGGAGCTACTAGACAAACCTAGGTTTTACCAAATTGTGTTGGTAAAAGTCTGAAAAAAGAACTATTCGCGTCTTATTTTGGGGTCTTAATAATGGGTGTTGGTAAATGTTAGGATTTACCATAAGCACGTAGTAAAAAGTTAGGTTAGGTTAGCAAAAAAGTGCTTGTGCAAATCCTCTGGTCTGTTATGGAATTCCAAATGTCATAATGGCTCACCTTGTTGCAACAAGTAAGTCTTGAATTTGTGTTTCTAAACCCTGAAAATGGGGTTTTACCAACAGTGAATGGTAAAACCCAGAAATAAGACGTGAATAGTTATTTTCCGGACTTTTACCAACACTATTTGGTAAAACCTAGGTTTGTCTGATAAATCCTAGGTTTCACAAACATTTGGGCTTTTATGGTTTTATATATATATATATATATATATATATCTCCAGAAAGAAGAAACATTGTCCATGTTAAGTCAGAGTTTGGACTAACCTCTGATGGCAAAATCTCTATTTAATATTAACCAAAATTTAAATATGAAAAATTACTTTTGTATCTAGCTTTAACTGTCCAAATATATATTTATTATTCAAGTCTATACACAAACTTTTAAATTGTTGTTGTTAAAATTTAAAATTTAAAATCACCATTAATATTCTGCGCCATTCATCGTTATCTCGATGTTACAATATTGCGCTATATATTACAACATGTTTCAATGTCATAGCATCATCTTCAGGCTTTTATTTTTAAAACTATTCTATATTTATTAATGCAAGCTTTTTCATTGATTGTAGATTGTAGATTACTGTTGTGGGTGTTCCTTTGATCTTCTTATTATGTTGCATATTATGTTAGTTGTT